CTGTAATAACAAATAATGGTCGTTGCCATGTACTGAGTTCCTACTAAATGCCAGTAGTAGACAAATCTCTAGTACTGACAACAGCCCAGAAAGGTATTACTATCCTCATTTTAAGATTTTTTTATAAAAAATTAATTTTTAATTAAATTTTAATCTTTTTTTAGAAAGGGTTTAATGGAAGTTAATGGTTTTGCCCCATGTCACGGTTGTTGGGATTTAGACACTCTGACCCCCTGCTGTGTGCGTCTGGACCATGCACTCACATTTCAACCCTCTGTGCTTGCATATTCCTGATCTAGTAACACTCTTACTCCAAATATCTGAAGGATCACTTCATCACTTCCTTCAAGTCTGTTCAAATGTCACCTTATTGGTCTTTCCTTTACTGCCAGATAAAAAGATATCTTCTTCTCCCTTCTCGTCCTCACTACTCTTTCACTGCTTTATTTTCTTCACAGAATTGTTTGGTACTTGAAATATTCAATAGTATCTATTCATTATCTTTCTCCACTAGAGTATAAGCTATACAAGGACAAGAACTTAGTCTATTTGGATCACCAGTGTCTAGCTCATAATAGGTGTTCAATAAACTGTTGAATAAATGCATAAATGACTGAATGCACACTAATTCTCTACATAGATGTACTCAGGAGTAACATTTAAAATATAAAAGACTAGTAGGGTAAACAGCAGAGATTCCAGTACCTACAAAGCCAACAGATGGCCAAAGTTTCAGAGGACCAGAAAGGCACAGGTATTTACCCACCAGAATGCTAGGACTACCAGTCAGAGGCAAGGTCCTCCCCAACCATCGTGAGAGGTTTGGGAATGGGGGATAGGGCATGCAGCAAAGGCATCAGGGGAAGTGCAGTGCTTCTTTACACCAGGGCTCCCTGGCTGGAATGGCAAGGTCTTGGAAAACTCCAAACAGCAGCTATTTGTGTTCTTTACAGAATAATTTGAATATTTTAACCAGTACAGCCATATACTTGTTTGTAATGGTTGAACATCAGTCCTGCACGCACTCCTCATACCCAGCACTGTTACTTTATTTAGGTAATTCTCACCTAACTGGACAAATAATACAACCATTCATCAATTAGTAGATGCTATACTGACCTCTGGAATCCTAACAGCTAATAAATGAAGAGGAAAAAAATTTAAAGGGATTACACGATGATGTTCAAGCTAGCCTTTTTAAAAGAACTACAAATATTCTGATGTGAGAAAACCAGAAGGTCCCGACAATTACCATAAATTTCCACACAATCCACATATTTATGTGCTCATTTGACCACACCAGCAACAAAAAAAAAGAATTTTGTGATTAAAGCTCACATCTGGAAACAATCATTTCACTACAACTTGTATTTTTTTGCCATGTCAGCAATCTGCCACAATATTTCCCTAAATGATTTAAAGTATAGAATTTAAATGCTTTAAAAATAATCTTAAGGGATAAGAACATATTTCAGAATATACCGATAAAAGATTTCCTCCCAAAAGTGACAGTTTAATTTCCTAGGCATAGTATCAAATGAATATTAGACATGTATGCTATAGTTGATTAACAAAATTTATACAGAACAGGTAACAACCAAAGACAGCAATTTTTATTAAAATATTTGCTTAATGTAGAGAAAAGTGGGAGAAATTAAATTCAGGATTTTTAAAAATTCAACTTCAGAACTTAAGGATCAAATGTTCTCATAGGTTTACATAATAAGTGTCTCAAAGATTGAAAACTACTTTCCTCCAACCTCCCCCCCACAAATACACACAGATGCACACACAACTAATGAATTCTATGACAATTCCACCAATGCTTTAGCTTTGGTCTTTACACATTAAGGAAGCTTTCGAATTACTGTAAGGATACCACACTAATTTCCCTACTTCAATCTTTTGATAGAAAAAAAAAGAAAAACAATTTATGAGATAATCAGGGAAATTGAAACAGATTTGATATTTGATTATATAAATTACTGTTAAATGATTTTAGGTATAATAAAAGTACGTACTTATGTGCATATACAAATAGATAGGAAGACATATACATAGATGTGTGTGTATATATATATATGAATACATTGATGAAATGTCATGATTTTAAAAAGTTGATGTTAATATTTCAGTAGTATAATAATGCAGTTGTGGTACACACTCATTTCTATATATACACATACATGTATGATTTTGGAGTCTTTCTCTTGTATATACTAAAATTTTTATGGTTTAAATTGTATAATTCCTGATATTTGTCTTAAAATAACCTGTGGCAGTAAAATGAATAGATGATGAAACAGATTAAATGAAATAGCCTGTATGGTGATAACTGTTGAAGTCAGATGATGAGTATATGAACATTCATTATATAATTCTCACCACTTATACCTATGTTTGAAATTTTCCATAATAAAAAGTTTAACAATAAATAAAATGTTCCACTAAAAAACAAAGTTGCCTATTATTTGAAGTTTTTTTTCCAAATCCTCCAGGCAGATTCTGTTGATTGGGCTGCTATTACAACTCTATGACAGTTATCATCATTAAATGATTTCCATTAGACTAGATATAGTGGGCTCCTTAAAGTCAAGCACTGTCCTATTCATTTTGGTTTCACCAGAGCCTAACACAATAGCAAAAAGTGAGCCCTTAATAAATGTTTACTGAACTTAAATGAACGTAAGTTAAAAAAAGAAAATAAAAGCACAATCATGTTTGACTGTGGTTTTGCAGAAACCAGTTTTTTTCCATGTCATTTACTTATTAGTAATAACTGTAAAGCAAAAAGGATTAAAACCACATATCTAATATTCCTGCAACATTATTTTAGAAGTGCTAACTCTATAAACAACTCATCTGGAGACTCCTTGTGGGCTCAACAGTGTATTTAATAGCTACATGCTTCAATTTTAGTTAACTGCCAAATCTGGTTTTCCAAATGGGGGATCTGCAATTAACATCAAAGATGTCGCATGATTCTTAAATTAAGAAACTTAATTTTAAATAATTTTAATACACATGCAGAAAAAATATGTAACATTATACACCAACCAGTGCAGATATAGAACATTTGGATCATGCAAACAGTTCTATAGAACATTGCTACTCTAGAGGACTTAGATCAGAAGGGGCTCTCATTTTCTATTAAATATCTGTATTGCTTAAAAATTGCATAGTGGGCACATATTTATTTTTATTGAGGCAAAATAGTAAAACTTGCCATTTCAACCATTTCTAAGTGTACAATTCAGTGGCATTAATTATAACCACGATGTTTTGCAACCATCACAACGACCTGTTTTCAAAACTTTTCATCACCCCAAATAGAACTCTTTAACCATTAAGCAATAATTTCCCACTCCTTCTCCCCTACTCTTTGTAACCTCTAATCTGTCTGTGAATTTGCCTATTCTACATATTCATATAAGTGGAATCATACAAAAGTTGTCCTTTTGTGTCTGGCTTATTTCACTTAGCATGTTTTCAAGGTTCATCCATGATGTAGTAGGTATCAGAACTTCATTCCTTTTGACGGCGGAATAAGATTCCATTGTATGTATATACTATATTATCCATTCATTCACTGATAAACACTTGGGTTGTTTACATTTTGGGGTATTGTGAATGATGCTACAATGAACATTAGTGTACAGATATCTGAGTTCCTGTTTTCAGTTCTGTGTATATGCCTAGTTGTGGGTTGCTGGGTCACATCATAATTGTTTAGCTTTTTGAAGAACCATCAAACTGTTTTCCACAGTGGCTGTACAAATTTACATTGAGTGGACTTGGCATCTTTGTCAAAAGATACATGGGTTTATTTCTTGACCCTTAATTCTATTCCATTGGTATACGTTTATCCCTATGCCATTTCCACACTGTTGATTACAGTATCTTTGTAGTAACTTTTAAAATCACGAAGCGTGTGTCCTCCGACTTTGTTATTATTTTTCTATACTGTTTTGGTATCTAGGATTCCCTGAAACTCCTTATGGATTTGAGAATTAACTTTTCCATTTCTGCAAAAAGGATTGCTGGAATTTTTATAAGAAATGACACTGAATCTATAGATCATTTTGGATAGTACTGATAGCTTAATATTAAGTCTTTCTACCCAGGAAAGTGCAGGTCTTTCCATTCATTTAGGTCTTATTTTCTTTTAGCAATGTTTTTTAACTTTCAGTATACAAGTCTTCTACTACATTGATTAAATTTATTCCTAGGTGTATTATTCTTTTAGAGGCTATCATATATGAAATTTTCATAATTTCCTTTCCAGATTGTTCACTGTAGGTGTATAGAAATACTACTGATTTTTGTGTGTTGATCTTATAACCTGCAACACTGCTTATTAGTTTCAGTAGCTTTCTCTTGGATTCTTTGGGATTTTCAAATATAGGGATTTATTTCTTCCAATACAATTTAGATGTCTTTTATTTCTTTTTTAATTACTCTAGTTAGAACTTCCAGTACAATGTTGAATAGCAGTGGTGAAAGTGAGCATCCTTGTGTTGTTCTTAATCTTAGAGGAAAAGCTTTCAGTCTTTCACCACTGAGTACGATTTCTTAGCTGTTAATTTTTCATAATTGCCCTTTATCATGTTGAGGAAGTTCCCTCCTATTCTGAGTCTTCTGAGTGTTTTGATTATTAATAGGTATAGACTGGGTATAGAATTTTATCAAATGCCTTTATTGCATCAATTAAAAGATTAGTTCTTTTTTTCCCTTTGCTCTAATAATGTGATGAATTACAATGAATGATTTTCTTATCTAGAATCAAACTGCACTCCTGGGATAAATTCCACTTAGTCATTGTGTCTTCTCTGTTTAACATGCTGCTGGTTTGGCTTGGCAACATTTTGTTGAGAATTTAGCAGGCATGTATTTTTAAAACAACTATAAGAAAATATTACAAACATACAAAGAGATGTAAAATGTAAAATAGTCAGATTTAGCATATTATTTCTTAGGATTTAATTGAGGGGAAATGTGCATATCTTATAGACACTCTATTAAATACTAAAAATTAAATGAAGTGAGAGGAAAAATTGTCCCTTTTTACATTAATGTTTCACTGACTTATAAATGTTCCAATTTTTTAAGTACCACTTTTTATGTGCCTGCAAATATACAATAAATCTCTAAAAAAGGGTCTATAGGATGAATATAGCATCATCAATAATTCTAAATCTACTGCTAAAATAAATATGAAAATATTTTACCCCTTCATAGAAAACTTTTGCACAGTCCTTTGCTAATTTTCCAAAAAATAACACATTGATGGTGTTGATCTCAGAATTTGAATTTTCTTGTTCTACAGAGAAAAACACACACATACAAGAAAACTTATTTGATATGGCAGTTTTATACACACAAGAAAATCGATGACAACTACATTCTAAAAACAATAGTTACTTCAAAATGTAATTATGAAGAAGAACAATTAAATGTATATAATTTACTTTCAGTTTACTATAATACCTTAATTGCAAAAACAATGTACAGAATGCTACTAGGCATTAAACCAAAATTATAACAAGATTCAATTAGAATACATTTTATAAATTTCTGCAGATACCAAATTAACATCACATAATAACCACTTTCTATTTATTTTCCCATATTTACAATAAAAATATTTTTACGAGATACTAATTATTCAATTTTAATCTATATAACATATCACCCCCAAAATATTTCATTGAAATTCTAGTAATCTATAGTTATCGGTGTAGTAAGTTTTAATCTAGACAAGTATGGTCTTCTCCTCTACTACCCATATATTGAAGAGTAAAAAAGCAGTGTGTGTAGTTAAAAGACCAATCTATTTGTGATTTTGAAAATGAAAATTACTTGGGAATAAGAAATGAATACTCTATAAGTAACTTCGTTCAGATCTTCTTGGCTTGGGAAAGAATCTCCATAATCTTCATTTTTCTGGAAGTCACTTCTTATAATTACTGTAGCAGGGCCAAATGTGAAGAGTCAATTACATCATCTTATAAGTAAAATTGTGCTTCTGTGTATATTTATGTATATGTGTGTATATATATGCAAAGTTACCCATTTGTGGATTATAGGCAAACATTTACATAAAAATGGTTTTATTATATTATATACCTTGTAGTCCGATCTTCAAAATAGGTGTTCTGTTTCCACCATAAGTTAAAGAAGAGATACGTGAAAGTTTTCCCTGAAATGAGAAAAAAAGAATTACAAGGAAAAGCCACAAAGGGCTTATTATACACCATAAGTAACAACTGGAATAATTTTTTTAAAGCAAATGACTCTTGTTTTTCAAGAAATCAAAGTCATTATTTTTAAGACATAAAAATGATTTTTAGAGAAAAATCAGAGGGCCTAAAAATACTTTAGGTTTATAATTTTTTAAACAATCTTATTAAATATTGTCAATTCCTCATTTTACATAAAAAGATGACCCAGCTCAACTTAAATATTATCAATTCCTTATTTTACATAAAAAGATGAACGAGCTCAACTTCAGCTTCTTTTTAACCTGTAATACTACTCTCCACTAAAGAAAAAAATTGAGTTTGCTACTAAAAAGAAATTAACTTATGAAGAAAAAATTCAAAAGTACAAAATGATAATCTCATAAATAAGGACAGTATGGACTTGATGGACTAAGGCAAAAATACAGTTTAGTCTTTGTTCTGCTTCTGTAACTAACCAATTCTGTCAGCCTAAAAAAGTTATTTAATCAGAATTTCATGTAAAATAAAGTATTTAATCTGGATAGTTTCTATAAGGTCTTCTGGTTCTAAAATTTAATGATTCTTTGAACAAATATATTATAGGGCTCTTTGAAAACTTCCACATAGATATGTAGCTTATTCAATAAAGTTTAAAAATAGATCTCCCACACTAATATTCCAGACTTTGATATAGCCAACAAAAAAAATAACAGTTTTGTGCATATATCAATTTTACTTAAAAGACAAGAATCAGAAAAAAATTAAAATATAACTATCAGTAGTGCATAATGATTCATTCAAAAGTAAAGGTAAATAGTTTTGTCAATGACACACAACATCACCATCCACTATTCACCTTCTCTTCCCTGATATTGGGGCAAAGCTAGATTTCACCTCACCCCAGTGGCTGACAGCAGGAAAGACAGGAACCCCTGCCCGGATCTTTCTTTCTTATCTTTCTTTCAGAAACAAGTTCTTAAACTGCTGGGAGAAGGGCAACAAAGCAATGAATTTTAAAGCTTTGGTGAAAAATCACTGCAGCTGGAAAGAGAAAATAGAAAAAAACTAAAAGTAAAACTATTTCATCTGAAATAAAATACCAGGAAATTCGAAAATAAATGGAAGAGTAAAAGATAAACAAATGTGTATACGGAGATGATTAGAAGGGTAAAACCAAAATGCAGCATTTTCTTTCTCTTACTACCACACCCATTTTATTAATAAGCCTTTCACCTTCCTCTCGTCATTTTCTCCTTAGCTCCTAACTTAAATGTACAACAACAAAAATGTAAAATTCACTAAATATGCATAACAGAATATTGAATACAACAGAAAAAAGGTTCAGTGAACCTGAAGCTAGGTCAATAAAAATTACTTTCTTAAAATTCCTCTCCACCAAAAAAAGAAAACAATACTTAAGAAAAAGGAACAGTATCCTCAGAGATCTATAGGGAGGGAAAAAAAAATTCCAAGAAGCATTACTCAATAATTTCCCTAATTTGATGAAAAACATGAACTTATGGATCACATAGCTGGAATCTGTGGCTGAGGAAAATGACCTGAGCAACATCCCCTGGCTAATAAGAAACAATAAACTAACAAACCATAATTGCAGGAGAGATAAATGGGCCAAGCGAAATTTTCTAAAGTTGCACATGCACATTAGCTAAAAGAGCTGTCCTAAAGTTAACTTTTCTACACTATTTAAGATGCTAATTAGACATGCGACTCATGAAGTTGCATATACGTAAGCTAGCATAGGGATAATAAGAGGGACTCTTAAAACCAGACTCCATCCTATTAGGTCAGGAATGCATAGGGAAAACCCGAGACACACCAATTAACTGCCTGCTGCCCGCATTTTAAATATACATAACTAAAAAGGGAGAATACAATGCAATCAGCAGACCTTATAAAAATAACCCAACATGTCCTAGTCTCATGAATTGTTTTTAAGAAAATGCCTGTGTAAATTTGTCTTTACAGAACCTGAAATAAAACCCTGTTGTGAGACAAGATTAAGCAGTCATTTGCTGACCACAGCAGTAAGGATAGCAGAACAGTCCACCAGCTTCCCCAACTTAGCCCCTTCTGCTTCCAATAGCCTACAGCCTCTCACACAATCCTATTGGGGAAACAGCCAGCTCCTTTCTTCTTGCTGGTTCCCTGGTGCACTACCTCTCAATAAAGCTTTGTTTGCTGAACTTCCTACTGGGTATAGTGCTCATTTCTACAACTTCCTACTGAGTATAGTAATCGTTTCTATAAAAATAGGACCCAGAAACCTGGCATTAGTTATCCACCTCCCCAACAGATCCAAGAAGCTCAGTTACCAACAAGCAGGAGAAATTCAAAGAAAAACCACATCTAGGCACGTGACACTCTAACTGCTAAAAACAAGGTAATTATTCTGAGTTAAAAAAAGTCTTACCTGGATATATTTCTTGCTATAATCACAGCCTGGCTGTAGGGATCTGAAATCTACTTTGTGTGATTTACTTAGTGGCTCAAACTCAGGTACACCATTGATTTCTTTTATTAATTCAAGTGGCATATCAGATCTGCTGCTCAGCGCTGTCCAAAAAAAGAAAGTTGATTATCTTGCTGCTGAAAACACAAAGACCAATGTTTTATCCAAAACGCAGTCAATAATTTGCTTTGAGCTTCTTTGACTTAGTTTTGTTTTTCCTTTAAGTTAGTTATTGTTAGGGGGTTAGGGGAGTGGATTACTCTATAATTTTTTTTTTACAAGGATCAAATATGCTTTCCCCTAAGGCACTGAAAGTTAACTCTTTTCTATTTAGTTTTGTATTTCAGGAAGTACCTCTAAAAGCCAGTTTTAGGATCTGTGAAAACTGTGCTAACAATTGCCTTACCACTGTGCTTTAAAAGGTATAAGCTACTAGGGGAGGGTGTGAGATTCAAAAGTTTTGGTTTCGTTTTTAACCCTTTTAACAATTTTTAATAATAGTACGCAAACCGTACGCCAAAGGCAAATTATTCCAAAATTATCAGTTGCCTCCTCCCTCCAGCCCCAATACAATCAAAAGAAACTATTTAACTGATGTCAACCTTTGCATTGTAAGTTCAATTTTATGTCTCAAATCTCTTAACTAGAACATGCACTAGTATCAGTATTTAATTTTGATGTGTACGCACCAACCTTCCCCAAGTCAGTAGAGCTCCGTGAGGACTGGGACTTGGACTAAAGCAGACAGCTCTCAAAATGTCAGGCAAGAGGCTGAACACAACAGGCTTACGATAAAGACACATATAACGTTTCTCTGCAATAACTACAGCAAATATTGTTCTAAATTAAATCGACCCCTTCATAATACCAGTTTAGGCCCCAATCCATTTTGTACCCACGCAACTAACTGCAAAATTACCCATTCACTCACCACGCTCCAGACCAAAACTAAGTTTAGGCGGGCGCGCCTATGACGTCACACGTACGCCGGCGGCGCAGTTCCCACGCATGCGTACACTAGCACTTGGGCTAAACTGCCGTTCGCTTTCGCGCCCGCTGAGGACAAACGGCATGATGGTTACCTACGTCTAAGAGGCCGTAGAAGTTTCCACGGAATACGAAATATGTAAGGGCGCGGCGCCAGGGGAATCGTGGGACATCCGTACAGTCTCAGCCCATGGATGCCGCCTCTCCCCTTAGCTCCGCCCCCGACCAATTTCCGGCTGTCAAGGCCAGAGGCAGCCGTGACGGAGGCGGGGGCTGCCTTCTAAATCCTGTAACCAATTAAAAACTATTCCAAAACCAGATCGGAGTTTGAGATTCCGTTTGGTAAAGTAGAAGCTTCTGTGGGCCGGGCACTTTTAACCTCCAGTTATCCTGCCATCCACCCTGCACCCCCCGCCCCCAGCAATCACCCAAATGTACTTTCTACAAAGAAATAGATCCAACGATGGGTAATAATAAGACATTGTCCACCACAGTGGGCCCAGGTATTATTCAGCACAGAGAATTTATGGGGGCGTGGGGGGGGGGAGAGAAGGGGCGGTGTAAGCAGGGTTGAGGGGAGGAGTGAATCCATTACCTGCAGCCAAGACTAGTCACTTGCAGAAAGAGAGCCAAACAATAGGAAGCTCTTTTATAAACGAGAAGATGAAGTTGAGGGGCGGGGGATACAACCTTACAGTTCTCTGATAACCGTAGAGTTCTTCCTGTAGGGCTTTCACAAATAACGTGCGATGTAAGAAGTATTCCTACAGGCCCGCTCCATTCCTGTCTTAGTTAAGGTCTCTGTCATAAATTTTGACAAGATATTGCTAAATTTGAAGCCTCTGTTAATTTCTGATTCATGCCTCCGATCATTTCATTTACGTGAAATCACCTAAGTGCAAAATAATAAAGAATTGCATAAATATTTCCAAGGCTAATTTGAACTAAAATATCTTTTGTAGATACATATTTGCAGGAAAGCTAACTAC